TGGGTCACCTGTCCTCTTGATAAAGGAAGCCGAGGAGACCCCACGAGATGGACTTGAACCAGTGTCCAGCCTACCAAGAGGAGGGTCAACACAGATGAGTCATTTCCTCCATGCTTCCAAGCAGAGCCAGCCATGGTCGAGCAGGACCTTTGACTTATCTTCACATAGGTGGAACTGGTAAAAGAAAGGAGTCAGGGGCTCCCCCCAAGCCCATGTGACCCCTGAGGAACAGATCCTCAAACGACCTTAAGAGTAAAAATAAATTGGTTTATCTGGGCCAACTGTATGGCCTTAAGCACCCAAAAGGAAAGTATAACCAAAGATTAAAGGGGCCAATATAATTTCTTAAGAGTCCATATGCATAGCTAAAGGCTACATAATGAGCAACAATGCCAGATAGGAGATAACTTCTTTTGAGTTGTTGGCCAGAGTGGCCAGAGGGACTCCCAGATAGTAACCCAGCATAGAACTGGGAAAATGAACAGCAGACCCCAGTCTTATCTAAAGGGATATTGACAATATTGATTGCTGCTAGGTGAGGAACAGCTGACCCTCCTAAAACAAAGACCTCTAGATAGGCTGACTGGGATCACCAGATGGACAAGTAGTGGGGAATGGCTGGGGTGCCGACAACACAGCAGGCAGTAGCAGGGATATCAAAGTGTAAGGTCTCTAGTGGAGGGAGGCTATGGGAGGGTGCCATCTGGGAAGTGGGTGTATAGTTGAATAAGATGGTTTGGGACATTCTGTGTGATTTACACACACACAAACAAAATCAACAAAATTTTTAAAATATATTTGAGGAGGAAGCATGGAAATTTACATCATGTTAATTAGCAGAGGTAATAAACATTGCCATTGAAATCTACCTGATGACTTCATAGACATACACCAGCACCAAGGATCCAAGCGCATCCAATTATGACTAGTAATAATCGGATACATACAGATTAGAGATGCATGTGCCAACATCTCAGTGTTAGTAGCAAAAACAATGAGTTTCTGCAAGGAACAATATATTCTAAAATGAAATGGAGATCTTTTTTAGAGGTAAAATACTCATTCAATTTGATGTCTTACAGGGCTTATAGAGATGTACTCTTGCTCTAGAGTGTTTTACCGAATATGTTAAAGCTGTAATGAAATGCTTCTTCTAATCATGTAGTTATTAAAAAAAATTTTTTAAATGTTCAACATCAGTAATCATCAGGGAAATGCAAATAAAAAACAAAATGAGATATCACCTCACCCGGGTAAGAATAGTTACTATAGAAAAAGGCAATGTGGTCCAGGCATGGAGGCACATGCCTTTAATCCTAGCACTTGTGGAGGTGGATCTCTATGAGATCCAGGCCAGCCTGGTCTACATAGTGAGTTTCAGGCCAGCTGGGACTACAGGGAGACTCTGTCTCAAAAAGACCAAAAAAAAAAAAAAAAAAAAGAGAAAAGAAGGAAAGAAAAAGGACAGGAGAACCCTTGCACACTGGGTGTGTAAATTAGCATGGCTATGATAAAAGATATGGAGTTTATAAAATTAAAAATAGATGTGCTGTATCATACACTCAGCAATCCCACTCACTCTTGGGTGTCTATCCAAAGGAAGTAAGTTCAGTATGTCAAAGAGAAATCTACATTCCAATGTTAGTATTTAGAATAACTAAGAAATGGAAGAGCCAGGCACAGTAGTGGAGGCAGAGGCAGGAGGACTGTGGGTTTGAGGGCAGCCTCGGTAACACAGTTCAAACCTGGGGTACACAGTGAGCCTGTCTCCAAAGACATGAAAAAAGAAATAGAGACTCTTAAGTGTCCATCATCCAATGAGTGGATAAAAACATGTGCTACATGTACACAATAGGATGCTATTCAGCTGTAAAAAAGAAGAAAACCCGAGAGAACTGGATGCAGAATGCTGTGTTTAGTAAAATAAGCCAGGCTCAGAAACCTCATGATCCGGCTCATGTATAGCCAGATCTTAGAGTTGATTTCAGAAGTTGAGAGAATGATGGTTACCAGAGGAGGACAGCAGGGAGGGGGAGATGAGGAGAGGTTGATCAGTGGGTACTAAGCTAGAATTATCTAGGAACAGGAACATTGGTGTGATGGTGGTAACTATAGATAACAGCAATTTACTCTACATTTTAAAAACCTAGAAGAGGGAGGGGGTGGGAAAAATGAAAATAAATACTCATATATGAAATTCTTTAAAAAATTAAAAATTAATTTAAAAAACTAGAAGAAAGATTTTTTAGAATTTTTTACTATAGTGAAAGTTTATGGAAATAGGTCTTTTGGGCCTAATTTAGTATCACACAATGTACAGGAATGGAAATATCTCATGGTACCCCATAAAGATGCACAATTTTTCTGTTTTTTGTGTATCAGTTAAAATATGTGGTTTCTTGGGGCTGGAGAGATGGCTCAGTGGTTAAGAACACTGACTGTTCTTGCAGAAGACCCAAGTTTGAATTCCAGAACCCACATGGCGGCTAACAACTGTTCGTAAGTCCAGTTCCAGGGTATCCAGTAGCCTCTTCTGTCCTCCATGGGCATTGCACGACATGGGTGCACTTACCTACATGCAGGCATAACATTAATACACACAAAATAATAAAATTATTTTTAAAAAAATATGTGGTTTCTTTGTGTGCCTAGAGATCACCATGGTCAATTCTAGAATATTGCCATCTCCACAAGAGCAGTGCACTGCCTATTAGCAGTCACTCCATTGCCCCTGGCCACAATGAACTTGCTTTCTGATGCTGACTAATGTGTGCTCTTGCTGCTCAGCCTCTCCCTCGAGGCTAAGCATGTCTTCTTACATCCTTACCTAGTAGCTCCTCAGAATGGGAGTACTAGACAGCAACATTTCTGGCCACAATGTACCTTGCTGTCCTGCCAAGTTTTTACCTTCTTTACTCTGAGGCTCCTGAAGAGTCATTGGGAAGAAAACTTCAAGCCTGCGAAGTTAGGTAACAGACTGAACCCACAGCACATTAGGTCTCCAGGGTCTAAGACTCCAGGCCAGGCTGATTACAAAGAAGGCACTTGGGGATACATTCCAGTCCTAGAGAGAAAGTTGAGGATGCAAGGGCGTGAGTTGACCTGGGGGTCTTCTCACTGAGCAGGTTGACCGAAGCCGGGTTATATCTCATATTGTATGCATAGTAAGTGAGCAGAACTAAGAGAAAACACTTAGGGAAGATAAACTGAAGAACCCCAGGAGAAATTGCACAAGATTTGTGCAAGTGTCTGCTCAGGACCTGTTGGTACTTGCTAGACTATGATTAGAAAGGGCAAAGCAAAAGGCAGGTAGAGAACTTCATTCTAGGCCTGGCCCCTTGGTGAAGTAGTTGTAAGACCTTTGGAAACTCATGTCAAGCCTCAGAGCCCAACTTTCACACCCTCAGATGAGGAAGCTTCACCTTTCTATAGCACACACATGAACAGGCATGTGGGAGGAGCCCTTCCTAAGCCTATTTTCCAGATGAAAACTCATGTTAGGACTGCTTGCTTTGAAGTTGGATTAGACATGGGTTTTATAATCCATTCTTATTTTGTCCTTCCCTTAGTATAAGGAATTGGAATGTGTCTTGAGCTGAAGGTACATTTTAGGATCTTTTAAAAAATTATGTTATTTTATGTTATGTTTATTTTAGAGTATTGAGGATGGAACCCAGGGACTTAAGCATCCTAGGCAAGCTTTCTGTCACTGACCTAGACCCTCAGCCCAGATGAATACTATTTCGATTCAGTCCGTACGACTCAAGAGAATGATTATACCTAACCAGAGTACACTTAAAAACTTAGGGCTGGAGAGAGAGCTCAGTGGTTAAGAACACTGACTGTTCTTGCAAAGACCCAGGTTCGAATCCTAGCATCCATATGGCAACTAACAACTGTCCATAACTCCAGTTCCAGGGGATCTGACAGCCTCTTCTGTCTTCCGTGGGCATTGCAGGACACAGATGTACTTACCTACATACAGGCAATACACAAATACACATAATATTAAATATTTTTTTAAAAAATCAGGAACAGGACAGGAGAGATTGCTTAGTGGTTAGGAGCTCATACTATTCTTTCAGAGAGCACTGGAGTTTGGTTCTCAGTATCTACTTCAGGAGGCTCACAACTGCCTGTAATTTCAACACCAGGGAATCCTATGCCTTCTTCTGGCCTCCCTGGGCACTGCACTCATGTGCACAACCGTGTGTGTGTGTGTGTGTGTGTGTGTGTGTGTGTAGTATATAATCAATAATATATATAAAATTAAAATTCCATAAAAGTCAGGCGTCACCCTACTGAAGCACACTGCATAAGGAATGCCGCGGTTGGAGAAAAGGGAGAAACAGCATGAATTTATTTCCCTAGACTTACTATTCCAACAGTGGAGGTTGAGACTGTGCACTGACTGTTATCTCTGTCACGTCACCCTGAGAGCATCCCTAATGGGTGAAACTTAACTCGAGGGTTGTTATGCCAAGAACCCTAATGATTTTATACTTGCAAAGTTTATGTTGAATCAGTGAGTGGATAAAAGAATAAGAACTGTTTTATGGTGACTGGCAGGCAGCATATGCTGAATGTGGAGACCAAGCAATCTAGCAAGACTAAGGCATATGGAAAACAGACGTGTAGTGTCATGCATTGTGACACTACAGATAACTTACCAACATTCAATATTTCTTTTTTTTTTTTTTAATGACAAAATGGGGCTGGAGAGATGGCTCAGCGGTTAAGAACACTGGTTGTTCTTGCAGAAGACCCGGGTTTGAATCCCAGCACCCACATGGCAGCCAACAACTGTCCATAACTCCAGTCCCAGGGGATCTGACAGCTTCTTCTGACCTCCACAGGCATTGCATGACACGGGTGCACTTACCTACATGTAGGCAATACATGAATACACATAAAATAAAAATAAATTTTAAAAAATGACAAAATGAGTACCAGTGGATTTCTTGAGTTTTATATTCCTGTTATCAGAAGGTCAGAACAGACATGCATGGTAAAGAGGCAACTGACATTTTGGCTATATTAACTACCTATGGGACACAAGACAACCTGCAAACTTTGATAAAAGTCAACGTGACTCTTAAGGGTAAAGTCTAAAGGTGAAAGCATATGTGCTTAGTAACTATAAGGCAAGAGAATTTTTTTTTTTCATCTTCTGAGACAGGTTCTCCCTGTAGCCCCAGCTGGCCTGAAACTCACTATGTAGACCAGGCTGACCTTGAACTCACAGAGATCCGCCTGTCTCTGCTTTCCTGAGGGCAAGAGAATTTTACATCAGGGATTGATACTTTTGTGGTATCTCTCAAATCCATCTCTTCCCATCATCATCTCTCTCATACTTTTAGCTCTTGAGACTCTGTCTCTAAAAAAGTGTTGACAGACTTCACTTATAGATTAATAGTGCTGAGCCACTACCTTGGAGGAAACGTTTTTGGGCGCCCAGACCCTTCAGGTCCCCACACAAAGACTCTTAGCGCATTCTCTCGACATAGGGAATCCATTTGATTTCATTTTCTGTACACTTACTCCCCATCAAACTCAACTTCATGGTCCCTACTTCAAATTTATTCTTGAATAAACATTTCATTTTCTGCAGAGATGACCCAGTTGTTTCTAAGACAGTTCCAGCCCCTTCTGTTCCTTCTGCATCACCTTTACTACACTTCTGGAAGTGGTCGGTCATGCCAGTGGCTCAGCTCCGACTAGTCCACACAGTACACAGCAAGTTGGGTATTGGCTTGCCCAGCTGCTAATGTGAATGCAGCTTTCTTGGGTCTTCTTAATTCATTAGCACCCTCTGCTCTCTGACTTCCCACACTTGTTGGCATCATCTGTTTTCTTAATAATTTACTTTGTGATTCATACCTACCTAAGGAATTTTTTAATCCATTTATTTTAGTGGCATTTCTAGAGGGAGAAAAGATAATGAGTTCAATCCAGTGTTTAGTTAGAAGTTTCTCCTGTGACTATGGAAACAGTGTAGAGCTCATAAGGGTGAAGACCTTGTATTTTCTATACCTTTTTGACAGTATCTTTTTTCATACAGGAAACATAGTGAGGGACGTACAGGCCATTTTTCAGTGGGGTAACCCAAATGGCAGAGACCATCTAGAATACAAGAAATTCTACCATTCTACCCAGGGCCAGGTACTGACCCCTATTTTTTGTGGCTCTTTCTCTTCAGTGACATCACTATATCTCTTCCATTATCCACACCTACTTACAGGATGATGAGAGCCTGAGGTACCTCACACATGAGGAAAAGGATGTCATCCTGTTCTTTGAAGAGACTCTAGATTCCCTGGAAGATGACTTTGACGAGCCAGCCCTGTGTGACAGTGGCATTCACTGCCACTCTCCACAGTCTCTGGAAGAAAGCCCTGCTAGTCACTCCGAGCCTGAAGATATCATTGATTTAGTACAGCCAGGACCTGTGCCTGGGGAAGCTGAGGGCCTTCCAGATGTGCCTGAGGGAGCAGGTGAGTAGTAATACACAGATCCCCACACTTGGTTTGATGGTGCAACCAAGACACATTGGCACTTCCTGCTGTTTGCCTGTGCTTGTCAGTATAGAGCTGTTGTGGCTGCTCAGCTTCTACAGTCATAGATTACAGCCAGCCCTTCAGAGACAACTGAATTTTGCATTTTTACTGCACTTCTGCTTTGAACCATAGTTCCTAAAGTAATTTGAACCCCTGAGCCTTTCAAAAGATTAGATCACATAATCATGCCAAAGAAAACGGGTTTTGAAAATATGCCATTTGTGCCCACCAATTCTCTATTTTCACAGCAATTTTAAGTGCCTGCTGTACGATGTGCCTTGTTGAAGATAAGGAGGATAAAGAGACTTGGCTTACATGTTAGTAGCAGGAGGCAGGTTCAGAGAAAAGTGGGGGAATCTTGAGTGGTGGCTCCCACAGGCTGCTGAATACCACCTGGGGTTGTGAGAGGACAGCGGCACAGCCTGCATCCATCTAGAAAAACAGGTTGGTGGGGTGTGCTGCACAAGAGTCCAGCCTCACTGTCTACTTCGGATTTTTGTTTTGTTGTTTTTCGAGACAAGGTCTCACTGTAGCCCTGGCTGGCCTGAACCTCACTGTGCAGACCAGGCTGGCCTGGAACTCACAGAGATCCACTACCTGCCTGTCCCATGTCCCCTCAAGGTGATGGAGCCTCAGAGGCACATCTTCCCATGCTGCTTCCCAGGGGCTGCCGTCTTCTGGCTCCAGATCTTCTCCATCCTGCCAGTAATCTATTGGTTGCGTGTGTGACCCTGAGAGTAAGGGACCACCTTCTTTTCACCAGTCCAGGGAGCAGGACCTGCGTTTCGGGCACTGTGGAGGCTGCTAGTATGTCCCTCTGTGGTTCTAAGTTCAGTGGACAGGCGTGCCATGCGTCCATTGCTACTGGGGTGGAAGCTTATGAGTCTCTCTTCGCATTTCAGGGGCAAGACCTGTTGGGAAGGAGGACGTGGCTGTGCCTGAAGGCGGGACGCCGGCAGCGAATGACTCCCGGGCTGCGGGGGCGCTCCCCCGGGCGCCCTCCCCGCCTGGCCCGGCACCCACCAGCCCCAGGAAGGAGCTGCCGCCCCCTCCTCCGGCAGAGCACCCCAAGCTGCCCCGATCCGTGCCCACGCCTCTGGTGATTGCTCAGAGAATTTCTGAGAAGTTGGCGGGAAACGAAGCCCTCTCCCCCACGTCCCCGCTGAAGGAGGGCAGGCCCGGGGAAGGGAGGACGCCGGCTTCTCCAGCCTCCCGAACCGCCGAGCTCGGCCTGCGGCCCCGGCCCGCGGCCCAGCCGGCGCCCAAGGTCCACCGCTTCCCCAGCAACATCAGCGTGACCAACAGCGCGGGCAGGGACTTCACCAAGACCATCTCCAGGGCGGCCGTCAACGTGCAGGAGCGCAAGGCCCAGGTCCTGGCCAACATCAACGGCGCGGCCTTCCCGGCGGCTGGCGACGCGGAGGAGCCGAGGGGCGACACGGCGGGGCCCGGTGGCAGCTCCCTGGATCGGGTTGTGAGCGTCCGGGGCAGGCCGGGCTCGGCCAGGGAGGCCCGCGCGGTGCAGACCGAGCCGCCCCCGCGGCTGGCCAACGGCTTCCCGAGCGTGCACGAGGCCCTGCGCAGCGAGCCCAGCTTCTTCGCACCGGCCGGCAAGACCGTCACCTTCCGACCCGACCCCGCGGCGGCCAGCAAGCTGGCGCGTCAGAACGCCTGCCGCAGCCTGTACGAGCCGCGCCACGACTGCGGCCAGGACGCCCGGCGCCGGGCTGGCTCGCTGCCCAGGGCCGTGGGCTTCAGGCCTCAGGGCATCACGGTGCAGTTCTCCGGCCGCGGCTCCACGGAGGAAGCACGGCGTGAGGCCCTGCGCAAGCTCGGGCTGCTGAAGGAAAACGTATGAGGCCATTGATGGGACCCCGCAGAAGGCATGGCCGCCTGGAGTGTCCCCGGCAGACCTGGCCTTGGTGTTGACACTGGGCTGCCGAGGTCACACAGGAGCGGGTTGGCTGGAGTGCTGCAAGTTAGCAGCCGCAGCAGTGCGGCCTGTGCAGCGTGGAACAGGAAACCACCCCTCGAGCCCACAGCTGAGCTGGGACCGACCTGGCATCTTCCTTGTCTAAGGTCCCAAGGGCTTCCATGCCACGGGGCTTCAGCGTTGGAAGGAGGGGCCTTGGCTTGACTTGTCATCCTGAACCTCTGGTCTAGCCTTTTCTTCCGGAGCAGGACATGAATGCCAGTTAGCTTCTTATGCTCAGGATTCCCGCCGCTAAGAAAATAAAAAAGAAATGCTTGTAAAATTTTTGACAGTGTCATCATGCACTCGTTGAGGGTTTGTGTTTGCTTCCGAAGCGTGGAAGATGGTACTTTACTGCTTTTGTTTCTTGACATAATTTGGTTTGCCCCATTTTCCTAACTGAAAATTGAAACGAAACCTTGAGAGTATGATTTACTCTAATTTTGAGTTGTGAGAATAAAATAGGAGGTTGAGTTTGGAAAAGGTAGTAATTTTGAGAAAGCAAGCCTTAGCAGACTCAAAATTTGTGTTTCTGGGTTGTATGTGTTTGAGTCTGTTGTGTATTATATGTAAATATGCTAACATATACATGGGTATATAAGTGTGCACGCAGGCACATCCGTGATTACGTAAGTATCCACTTCTGAAGATATCTGTATAACTACAGGATGTGAACGCTTTCTTCTCTCTTGACAGACACCTCAGTATGGTGATGGACGGCACTAGACCTCGTTGCTTCCTGTTTGGAAATCTAAGGACACATGTCTGTGATATTTTGGTGAACTCCAAGTAGTTTTTCCTCAACGTGTTCTGTTCCCAATCAGAAAGTAGTATTTCCTTATTTCAAATAAGCAAGCTGGTTCCTGTTTGTATTTAAAAACACTTTTTTAAACTTAAAATCTTTGTTACCTCATTAGTTTTATGTGTTCCAAAATACTAGACAGAGGGAAACAAGATTCTCAAAGAGCCCTGATTGGTTGTGTTCCATGAGCAGCATCTCGGATTTGATTTGAAAGGGAAAAAACAGTGAACCAGGTTACCGGCATGAAAAGAACTGGTTTTCTCCCAGACTTTGTCTCTCATGCTGAGCTGTGGTCACAACATTATTATCAGAACTATTTAAGGGTAGAGTCTCAAACATCTAAAAATAGATAGGGAAGGGCTGCTCTGAGAGTCACACCCTTTGCTTGTACATCCTGGCCAGCAACGTAACAGAGCCCATTTCTTTTCCTGCTGAGCATTACTGAGGCTCAGACTTTTAAGTGAGCTCTTGAAGGGCATGTCCATGTATTCCACTCTCCTTGCAACTTGTGGAAAATGAAGGATTATGGTTTTTTCCTTAGAACCACAGTCTAGCCTCTCGCCCAGCTCTTGTTATTACAAAATAATCTCATGCTTTCTTGATGAGACTCATTTAAATAGGGGCTGGAAATTTTTTAAAGTACTTTTAAGTTTGTTCCTGTTTATGTTGGATTTGCTGAAAGCAACCATGAGCGTTTGTGTTTTGCAAAGTGAGATGCCACACAGTGTTTAATAATCGAAAGTCTTAATAGCTAATGTTACAGATGTCCTTTATATGTAAGGATTGTTTCTTTTTATCTTATCTTACAATTTTACTGTGAATAGGGCAAGTATATTAGTTATCTCACAATAACATTTTTGAAAAATTTTATCTTACCTATAAGCAAATTTATTACACTATGCACTATATACTTGTTTTATTTTGAAGGGTTATATCTTTTCCTACTATTTATTCATTATTTCTTTGTATTTAATTCATAATTATATTGACAATTACTCTAATTGTTTCTTGTACCCAAAGCCCTAGTAATTAAAGCCCTATTTTTGTCAGCAGTGCGGAGGATTCCTGCTGATGCCCTAACGTGTAGGCATATGTGTTTATTGCTGAAGGGCATTAGTTTCCTTGCCATAACTGTATGATGTGACGTTCTTAAAAGCTGTCTTCAGCTCCCAGGAGTTTGAAGGACCATGTTTTGAAGCAAGAGTGTAATGAAAAGAAAAGGGGAATCTGAAGTACCCAGTTTCTTTTTAGGGATGTTTTTAAAATTTCCATTTTTTAGAAAACTTTCTTAATATGTAAAAATCAGAAAAACAAATTTCTTCTTTGCTTTTAAGAAAGTGTATACAGGGGCTGGAGAGATGACTTAGCAGTTAAGAGCACTAGCTGCTTTTGCAGATGACCTGGGTTGGGTTCCCAGCACCCACATGGCAGCTACAACCATCCGTAACTCTAATTCCAGGAGATCCCACACCCTCTTTTGACGTCCTTGGGCACTGCATGACACGGGTATAGGCACAATACTCATACACATAAAATAAAAATAAAAATTTTTTTTAGAAAAAAGAAAATGAGCTGGGCATGATGGCACATACCTATAATCCCAGCAGAGGCAGACAGATCTTTGTGAGTTCAAGGCCAGCGTGGTCTACATAGTGAGTTCCAGGTCAGCAGGGGCTACAAGGAGACCCTGTCTCGAAAAGGCCAAAAAAGAAAAAAAAAAAAAAAAGGAAAGTGTGTACTATACAGGTATCCAAATTAGAGTCTTGTGGGCAAGCAGCTGTACTTTGCAGTCAACAGGAGAGTTGTCTCTGCTCCATCCCAGTTCCCTCTGTATCTTTCCCATAGTCATGCCCCACCTAGTATACATGCCTGTCTTCATAAAATTAGGGAAATTTTGATCTTCGATGTCTTCCTCCCCAAGGTCACAGCTTCCTGTGGTGCTGCTTAAGGAGAAAAGGCCCTGGTCTCATTCTCCTGTAATGCTGCTTGCTTGAGGAGAAAAGGTCCAGAAAGGCCAGTTGTGGGATGCCACCCACCAGGATGCCACCCGCCATGCACAGTGGCTGATACAGAGCCCAGCCACCTGAGGAGTACAGGCCTGGCTGCCGGCGGATTACTGACTGTAGGATTCTTTGCACACTCTACTCGGTGGGAACCCCATTCAGAACTAGCTTTCTTCAGGAACTTGGTGGAGTTGATAAGTGAGGTCTGTGGAACCCTCGTGTTGATTTAAAACAAAGCAGAGAAATGCATTTTTCTTAAATCCCTAGAGCTCTGGCTGTGAGGATCTGACCTTTCCCAGGGTTCCGTGGTGACTCTAGGTGAAATCAGTTCGTTAACATGTATTAAAGAGAAGTGAGAAGAGCCTGCCCACTGCGCTCATGTTTTCCTAGTGGTGATACACGTACAATGAAGGCGTTGTTTCTCTTTGGTATTTTATGCATGTGACATGGCAAGATTAATAAACTTATTTTTGCCCTAAACTGCTCCCTTTGTTCTGAACTGTCGCCCAACGGTGGTGCCGCCTGGATGAACAGTACCCTGCTTCTCCAGGTCCCTTGTACTCACACTGGTCCCCAGCCAAGGCTGCTGGATGGAAGGAGGAAGGGGAGGAGCCTGGAAATGTTCACCTATGAGAGGTTTGTGTTATGTCCGAAGTAACAAGTCACCAAACAGGTTTTGTGTCCTCTCTTCACAACAAGACTTTTTTTCCCTGGCTTTAAAGAATGGAGAACGTGTCCCCATATCCTTTTCTAATCTACTGGTTGGACAAGCCCTGCTTTCAAATCTGAGAAAAGAGAAGACAGCTGTAAGCTGCTGTGTCCTGGGAAAGTTGCCGCTCTTTGTAACTGATTGAAATGGAGGCCCAGCCTGCACTTCTGTTCAGCCCACTGGCCATCCACCCACCCCCCCACTCTCACCCCTAGAATCTCCTGCTTTCTCTGAGCATAAAAGCCCTGGGGGATGGGAATCCTACCACTGCAGGAGACACCTAAGCCTCTCCCATACTTTTCAGCATAAAATCAGCCTTTGCATGTGACAGTTGAAATCCCTTTTTTAAAATTTTTATTATTTTTATGTGTATGTGTGTATTGCCTGCATGTAGGTAAGTGCACCTGTGTCGTGCAATGCCCTCGGAGGACAGAAGACGCTGTCAGATCCCCTGGAACTGGAGTTATGGACAGTTGTTAGCTGCCATGTGGGTGCTGGGATTTGAACCCAGGTCTTCTGCAAGAACAATCAGTGTTCTTAACCGCTGAGCCATCTCTCCAGCCCCAACAGTTGAAATCCCTTTAAAGGTGCCTTTAAAAAAAATATTTTATTTATTGTTTTTATTTTATGTGTATGAGTGTATTGCCTGCATGTATGTGAGTGCACCCATGTCATGCAATGCTGTGGAGGTCAGAAGAGGGCTTCAGATTCCCCTGGAACTGGAGTTAAAGACGGTTCATAGCCACCATGTGGGTGCTGGGAATCAAACCTGGGTCCTCTGCAAGAGCAGTCAGTGCTCTTAACCACTGAGCCATCTCTCCAGCCCCTTAAAGGTGCCTTTTAAAAGTGCCTTATTCAAAAAAATTCATCAAAACTGCCCTATACATTCCTAGTGGCTGGACATCCGTAGTGTGTTGCTGTAATACCAACACTTGGGAGGTAGAAGCAGGAGGATCAGTTCAAGGTTATCCTCAACTACAAAGCAAGTTGAGGTCAGCCTGGGCTATGTGAGACTCTGTCTCAAAAAACAAGAAGAATTCGAAAGACTTCAGGGATGTCACTCACTCCTGTCACAGCAGGCTCTATGCTCCCTCCTGGTTACTGCCCTAGATCACAGAGATATGGGTGCTGTTTCCAGAGTGCTGGAATTAAAGGCATATACCACCACACCTAGTTCATAGCTAAGTTTTCGGGGTTTTAGGGCTATGTGAGACTCTGTCTCAAAAAACAAGAAGAATTCGAAAGACTTCAGGGATGTCACTCACTCCTGTCACAGCAGGCTCTATGCTCCCTCCTGGTTACTGCCCTAGATCACAGAGATATGGGTGCTGTTTCCAGAGTGCTGGAATTAAAGGCATATACCACCACACCTAGTTCATAGCTAAGTTTTCGGGGTTTTATTGTTTTGTTTTGTTTT